TAGCACACCAACCACCCTGCCAGCTACCTAGACTCAACCACCATGCCAGGCCTGTACTAGCCACACAACCACCCTGCCACCCCTACCTAGAACACCAACACCCTGCCACCCTACCCTGCCACACCAACCACCCTGCCAGCCTACCTAAGCACACAACCACCCTCCACCCTACCTAGCACACCAACCACCCTACCAGCCTTACTAAGAACACCAACCCCAGGCCAGCCTACCTAGACACCAACCACCATGCCAGCCCCACTACACCAACCAAACCACCCTGCCAGCCTACCTAGCGCACCAACCACCCTGCCGCCTACCTAGCACACCAACCACCATGACAGGCCTACTAGCTCACCAACCACCATGCAGCCTACCTAGCACACCCAACCACCCCGGACAGCTACCTTGCACAACCAAACCACCCGCCAGCCTACTAGCACACCAACACACACATGCCAGCCTACCTAGCACACCAACCACCATGCCAGCTACCCCTAGCACCCCAACCACCCTGCCAGCCTACCTAGCTCACACCAACCACCCTGCCAGCCTCCTGCACCCACCACCATGCCAGCCTACCTAGCACACCAACCACCATGCCAGCCTCCTACTGAGCACACCATCCACCATGCCATCCTACCTAGCATCAAACAACCACCCTGCCCAGCTACCTAGCCTCACCAACCACCTGCAGCTACCTAGCCACCAACCCCATGCACAGCCTACCTAGCTCACCAACCACCATGCCAGCTACCTAGATCCACCAACCACCATGCCAGCTACCTAGCACACCAACCACCTCTTGCCAGCCTACCTAGCACACAACGCCCTCCATTTGCCTCTTAGCCTCAGTTCTCTGTGAGTGACGGCATGAAGGTCCCTGCCATCCTTAGTGTCATGTCATCGTGGGAATGTGTTAGACTTGGAGTTCACCTTGATGAGAAAAACTATGAACATGTGATGTTAACTGTGTTTTCATTATGGCTGGAATACGATGATAGAAACGTGTTAATGTGTTGTGAAATTAGAACCTCTTAACATCAACCTCATTTGTTTTCTCACAAGCAAGACGAGGAGAACTGACACGAGATGTCAACACTAGTCCATCTCTCTTTCACGAGTGACACCATCATTCCTTTGATGAGTGAGTCCTTCATGATGTTGATGAGTGAGTCCTTCATGATGTTGATGAGTGAGTCCTTCATGATGTTGATGAGTGAGTCCTTCATGATGTTGATGAGTGAGTCCTTCATGATGTTGATGAGTGAGTCCTTCATGATGTTGATGAGTGAGTCCTTCATGTGTTGATGAGATGAGACAGTCCTTCTGATGTTGATGGTTGAGTCCTTCATGATGTTGATGAGTGAGTCCTTCATGATTGTTGATGAGTGAGTCCTTCATGATGTTGATGAGTGAGTCCTTCATGATGTTGATGAGTGAGTCCTTCATGATGTTGATGAGTGAGTCCTTCATGATGTTGATGAGTGGTCTTCATGTGTTGATGAGTTGAGAGTTCCTTCATGATGTTGATGATGTGAGTCCTTCTGTGTTGATGAGTGAGTCCTTCATGATGTTGATGAGTGAGTCCTTCATGATGTTGATGAGTGAGTCCTTCATGATGTTGATGAGTGAGTCCTTCATGATGTTGATGAGTGAGTCCTTCATGATGTTGATGAGTGAGTCCTTCATGATGTTGATGAGTGAGTCCTTCATGATGTTGATGTGTGAGTCCTTCATGATGTTGATGAGTGAGTCCTTCATGATGTTGATGAGTGAGTCCTTCATGATGTTGATGAGTGAGTCCTTCATGATGTTGGTGAGTGAGTCTTCATGATGTTTGATGTTGTGAGTCTTCATGATGTTGATGGTGAGTCCTTCATGGATTTGATGTGTGAGTCCTTCATGACTGTTGCATAAGTGGAGTCCTTCATGATGTTGGATGAGTGAGTCCTTCATGATTGATGATGAGTGAGTCCTTCATGATGTTGATGAGTGAGTCCTTTCATGATGTTGATGTGTGGAGTCCTTCATGATGTTGATGATGAGGTCCTTCTGATGTTGATGAGTGAGTCCTTATGATGTTGATGAGTAGAGTCCTCATGATGTTGATGAGTGAGTCCTTATGGATGTTGATGTGTGAGTCCTTCATTGATGTTGATGAGTGGTCCTTTCATGATTTTGATGTGTGGTCCTACATGATGTGATTAAGTGGTCCTTCATGATGTTGATGTGTGAGTCCTTCATGATGTTGATGAGTGAGTCCTTCATGATGTTGATGAGTGAGTCCTTCATGATGTTGATGTGTGAGTCCTTCATGATGTTGATGAGTGAGTCCTTCATGATGTTGATGTGTGAGTCCTTCATGATGTTGATGAGTGAGTCCTTCATGATGTTGTTAGAGTGAGGCTTCATAATGTTGAGAGTGAGCCTTCATGATGTTGATGAGTGAGTCCTTATGATGTTGAGAGTGAGTCCTTCATGATGTTGATGAGTGGTGTCCTCATGATGTGTTGATGAAGTGAGTCCTTCATGATGTTGATGAGTGAGTCCTTCATGATGTTGATGTGTGAGTCCTTCATGATGTTGATGAATGAGTCCTTCATGATGTTGATGTGTGAGTCCTTCATGATGTTGAAGAATGTGTCCTCTATGATGGTGATGAGTGAGTCCTTCATGATGGATGAGTGAGTCCTTCATGATGTTGATGAGATGAGCCTTCATGATGTTGATGAGTGAGTCCTTCATGATGATGATGTGTGAGTCCTTCATTTGATGTGATGATGAGTCCGTCATGATGTTGGATGAGTGAGTCTTCATTGTGTTGGATGTGTGAGTCACTTCATTATGTTGATGAATGAGTCCTTCATGGATGTGATGTGTGCAGTCCTTCATGATGTTGATGAGTGAGTACTTCAAGATGTTGATGAATGAGTCCTTCATGATGTGATGAGTGGGTCCTTCCCCCCTTGATGTTGATGTGTGAGTCCTTCATGATGTTGATGAATGAGTCCTTCTGATGTTGATGAGTGGTCCTTCATGATGTTGATGAGTGAGTCCTTCATGATGTTGATGAGTGAGTCCTTCATGATGTTGATGAGTGAGTCCTTCATGATGTTGATGAGTGAGTCCTTCATGATGTTGGATGTGTGGTCCTTATGGATGTTGATGAATGAGTTCTTCATGATGTTTGATGTGTGAAGTCCTTCACATCTGTTGATGAGTTAGTCCTATGATGTTGATGAGTGAGTCCTTCAAACTGTTGATGAGTGAGTCCTTCATAATGCTGATGAGTGAGTCCTTCATGATGTTGATGAGTGAGTCCTTCAAACTGTTGATGAGTGAGTCCTTCATAATGCTGATGAGTGAGTCCTTCATAATGCTGATGAGTGAGTCCTTCGCACTTTTGATGAGTAAGTTCTTCACACTGTTGATTAGTTAGTCCTTCACACTGTTGATGAGTTAGTCTTTCACACTGTTGATGAGTTAGTCCTTCATAATGTTGATGAGTGAGTCCTTCAAACTGTTGATGAGTGATTCCTTCACATGATTGATGAGTTAGTCCTCATAATGTTGATGAGTGAGTCCTTCAAGCTGTAGATGAGTGTCTTCACACTGTTCCCAGATGAGTGAGTCCTTCATAATGTTGATGAGTGAGTCCCTCAAACTGGTTGATTGAGGTGAATCTTACACTGTTGATGAGTGAAACTCACATGTTGATGAGTGAATCTCTCACTGTTGATGAGTGAATCTTCACACTGTTTATGAGTGAATCTTCACAGCTGTTGATGAGTGAATCTTCACACTGTTGATGAGTGAATCTTCACACTGTTTATGAGTGAGTCATCACACTGTTGACGGCGAGCGAGTCAATCACACTGGGTTGATGAGTGAAGTCCTTCCACACTGGTTGTTGAGTGAGTCCTTCACACGTTGATGAGTGAGACCTTCACACTGTTGTTGAGTGAGTCCTTCACCTGTTGATGATGTGAGTCCTTCAAACTGTGATGAGTGAGAGTGAAGTCCTTCACATGGTTTTGAGTGAGTCTTCACATGTTGTGGTGAGTCCTTCACACTGTTGATGAGTGAGTCCTTCACACTGTTGTTGAGTGAGTCCTTCACACTGTTGTTGAGTGAGTCCTTCACACTGTTGATGAGTGAGTCCTTCATACTGTTGATGAGCGAGTCATCACACTGTTGATGAGTGAGTCCTTCACACTGTTGATGAGTGAGTCCTTCACACTGTTGTTGAGTGAGTCCTTCACACTGTTGTTGAGTGAGTCATCACACTGTTGTTGAGTGAGTCCTTCACACTGTTGTTGAGTGAGTCCTTCACACTGTTGATGAGTGAGTCCTTCACACTGTTGATGAGTGAGTCCTTCACACTGTTGTTGAGTGAGTCCTTCACACTGTTGTTGAGTGAGTCCTTCACACTGTTGATGAGTGAGTCCTTCACACTGTTGATGAGTGAGTCCTTCACACTGTTGATGAGTGAGTCTTCACACTGTTGATGAGTGAGTCTTCACACTGTTGATGAGCGAGTCCTTCACACTGTTGATGAGTGAGTCCTTCACACTGTTGATGAGTGAGTCCTTCACACTGTTGATGAGTGAGTCTCTTCACACTGTTGATGAGTGAGTCCTTCACACTGTTGATGAGTGAGTCCTTCACACTGTTGATGAGTGAGTCCTTCACACTGTTGATGAGTGAGTCTTCACACTGTTGATGAGTGAGTCTTCACACTGTTGATGAGCGAGTCCTTCACACTGTTGATGAGCGAGTCCTTCACACTTTTGATGAGGACGTTGAAGATCCTCATTTTCAATATTATTATTATACTCAGGGAAAGCGTTAAACCAGCAAGAGTTATACAGTGTCCAATAAAGTGAAGGCAAACAGGCTTGATCCAAGGAAGGGGAGGGTAATTATATTTCCTTGGATCAAGAGCTCTTCCACTGAAGGGTCACTGCCAGTAATGATTAAAGGTTTCTTGCATGTTGCAGGTCAGTGCAGGTCAGGTGGGTGCAGGACAACCCTGGTGAGACTGCAACAGGAGAGTTTGCCCTGCGAGGCCTCTACATAGGCCCACCCTGCCCCTATGCCTGTCATGGTCACGGCCTCTGTACCGCCGCTGGTCTCTGCAAGTGTGACAAAGGTTACAATGGTACGTCTTGCATGTTACAGCTGCAGTGTTGAGGAGGATTATTTACTGTGTGACACATCAACATCTGAGACTCAACTCCTGCAACCACATACAGGTAGTGCCACACACACACATACACACACACACACACACACACACACACAACACACACACACACACACACACACACACACACACACACACACCACACAACAACATACACAATACACATTACACATTTACACCACAATTCATGCACAACACAACACACACACACACAACACACCACACACACACACACCACCCACCACACACACACACACACACACACACACACACACACACACACATACACACAACACCACACATACACACATACACCATACACATACCACACATACATGCACACACCCACACAACACACACACACCAACACAACACACACACACCACACAACACACACACACACACACACCAACACACACATACCACTCACACACCACACATACACACGCATACACATACACACATACATGCACACATTACATTCCACAGGGAGATCGACTGGGAAAACTTGGTGCCACATGAGAGCCAAGATGGATGGATGTGGTACTTGAAAACCTTTTTTTCATTTTTTTTTTGGCCCCCCATCATACATGTCAGGGGACACAAACCAGAAGAGAGAGGGGAGGATGAGCCAGCAAGACGGGACTTGTGTTCCACCCTGAGCAGTTCGTACATCGAGGACATCACTTACGAGAGGCCCTTGGAGCTAGCGATCATTGTGAGTTTCTGAGTTTTGACTTATAGTAGAGTTACAAGTGGAGGAAGGTAACAGGAAACTGAAGGGGACAGGCCGAACTATAAAAGAGGGGGGGGGACTACACAGGTATGAGAAACTCCATGCAGGAGGTTCAGGTGGGACAGAGAAATTGGTAGGAAAAATCAGGTAAACGAGATGATGGAATATGTCGGCAACAAAGTGCAAGGAGGCAGAGGAAAGTTTTGTTCCAAGGGAAACAGGAAATAATAGGAAGACCAAAAACGAGTCCTTCCTTGTTTACCCGAAGGTGTAGGGAGGGCAAAAACTAAGTGCAACGAGAATGGAAAAGGTACAGGAGGCATAGGACCCGGAAAACAAGGAGATTAGTAGAAAGAGCCAGCAAAGAGTATGCGCAGTTGAGGAGGGAGGCCCAGCGACAGTTGAAAACGACATAGCATCGAAAGTCAAATCTGACCCGAAAATGCTGTATAGCACTTTAGGAGGAAGATTCCAACAGTCAAGGGACAGGTGTGATAAGGCTGAGGAAAGAAGGTGGAGAATCACAGAAACGATTCAAGGGTATGTGCGGAGCTCAACACGAGATTTAAGGAAGTATTTACAGTAGGAGACAGGAAGGACTCTGGGGGGACAGACCAGATGGGGACACAAACAAGAATACCCCACCAACAAGTGATTGGGACGACCAACATTACAGGATGCGGAGGAGGTGAAGAAATGCTAAGGGACATCGATACCTCAAAGGCAATGGACCGGACAACAATCTCTCCATGGGTCCTTAGAGAGGGAGCAGATTATTGGTTCGTGATACCACTTACCACAATCTTCAACACATCCTGGAAACTGGGGCAAACTACCTGAGGTATGGAAGACGGCAAATGTAGTTCCCATTTTCAAAAAAGGAGAACAGAAAAAGAGGGCACTACTGTAGAACGTGTCATTGACGTGTATAGTATGCAAAATTATGGAGAAGATTATCAGGAGAGTGGTGGAGCACCTGGAACGGAACAGGAGTATAAATACCAACCAGCACGGATTCACGGAAGGCAAATCCTGTTGTCACAAACCTTCTGGAGTTTACGATAAAATAACAGAAGTAAGACAAGAGAGAGAGGAGTGGGTTGATTGCATCTTCTTGGACTGCAAGAAGGCCTTTGACACAGTTCCTCACAAGAGATTAGTGCAGAAGCTAGAGCATCAGGCGCATAAACAGGAAGAGCACTGCAATGGATCAGAGAATACCTGACAGGGAGGCAACAACGAGTCATGGTACGTAATGATGTATCACAGTGGGCACCTGTGACGAGCGGGGTCCACAGGGGCGGTCCTAGGACCAGTGCTATTTTTGGTATATGTGAACGACATGACGGAAGGGTTAGACTCAGAAGTGTCCCTGTTTGCAGATGATGTGAAGTTAATGAGGAGAATTAAATCTGATGAGGACCAGGCAGGACTTCAAAGAGACCTGGACAGACTGGACACCTGGTCCAGCAAATGGCTTCTCGAATTTAATCCTGCAAATGCAAAGTCATGAAGATAGGGGAAGGGCACAGAAGAACCACAGACAGAGTATAGGCTAGGTGGCAAAGACTGCAAACCTCACTCAAGGAGAAAGATCTTGGGGTGAGTATAACACCGAGCATGTCTCCGGAAGCACACATCAATCAGATAACTGCTGCAGCATATGGGCGCCTGGCAAACCTGAGAACAGCATTCCGACACCTTAGTAAGGAATCATTCAAGACACTGTACACCGTGTATGTCAGGCCCATACTGGAGTATGCAGCACCTGTTTGGAACCCGCACTTGATAAAGCACGTCAAGAAACTAGAGAAAGTACAAAGGTTTGCAACAAGGTTAGTTCCAGAGCTAAGGGGAATGTCCTATGAAGAAAGATTAAGGGAAATCGGCCTGACGACACTGGAGGACAGGAGGGTCAGGGGAGACATGATAACGACATATAAAATACTGCGTGGAATAGACAAGGTGGACAAGGACAGGATGTTCCAGGGAGGGGACACAGAAACAAGAGGCCACAATTGGAAGTTGAAGACACAAATGAGTCAGAGAGATAGTAGGAAGTATTTCTTCAGTCATAGAGTTGTAAGGCAGTGGTATAGCCTAGAAAGTGACGTAGTGGAAGCAGGAACCATACAGCAGTTTTAATAAGGTTTGATAAATCTCAAGGACGGGAGAGAGAGGGTTCTGTACAACCTGGTGAAGAGCGGGGCCAGGAGCTAGACTCGACCCCTGCAAACCACAAAATCAAGGTGAGTACACACACACACATCACACTCACACACCCACACACACTCACACACACCCAATACACTATACACACATACATGCACACACACACACCACACACACACACACACACACATACACACACACACACACACACACACACACCACACACACACACACACACACCCTACCAGATGAAACTGAAGTTAAAGAGAGAATTTAAATCAGACGCGGACCAGACAGGTCTACAAAGAGACCTGGACAGGCTGGAGTGTGGTCCTAAACTGTATCGTTCCAGTCACGTATTGTGCTTTTTTATTGGTTATTGAAGGGCAAAGAAGCCAGCAGACAGAGTATAGCTAGGTGGCCAAAGGCTGCAAACCTCTGCTCAAGAGAAAGACCTAGGAGTGAGTATAATAAATACCGTAGTACATCGCCAGAAGCACACATTAAAACCAGATAACTGCTGCGGCATATGGCGCTTGCCAACCTGAGAATAGCGATCCGGTCCCTCAGTCAGAATCGTTCAAACTTATATTACCCTTTGTACGTCCAGACCCAAACGGAGATACGTCAGCACCAGTTTTGGAACCCACACAGGGTCAAAACACGTCAAGAAAATTAGAGAAAGTGCAAAGGTTTGCAACAAAGGCTAGTTCCTGAGCTAAGGGGAATGTCCTATGAAGAAAGGTTTAAGGAGGAAATCGGTCTGACAACTACTGGAGGACATGGAGGGACAAGGGAAACATGAAACAACATACAACATACAGTCGTGTAATAGGACAAGTGGACAGAGACAGGCTTTCCAAGATGGGACACAGAAACAAGAGTCACAATTGGAAGCTGAAGACTCAGATGAGTCCAAAGAGCGTTAGGAAGCAAATCTTCAGTCATAGTAAGTAAGTTAGGAAAGTGAAAAGTCAGGCAAGCGATGAGTAGAGGCATGAACTATACATAGTTTTTCTAAGACGAGTATGGACAAAAGCTCATGAGCAGGGGGAGAGAGGGACCTAGTACGGTCGTGTGAAGAGGCGGGGCCAGGAGCTGAGTCCTCGACCCCGGCACACAATTAGGTGAGTACAACGACACACTACCCCTCCCCCCTGACTTACCCTCTTCCCTCTCTTAGCTTTCCCCTCACTTCTCTCTCTTACCTCTCACCCCTAGTCTTCCCCCTCACTTCCCCCCACACACACATTCACTCTGAAAATACATAGGCTTGTAATGGGGTAAAATACATAAGCTCCTATGTGTGGTTAAAAAAAATGAGTACCCGAGGGGGCAGAGACCCAGGGGTCTGGTGGATGCACCCAGGAGGGAGGAACCTGGGAGGGAAGCTTGGGAGTTAGCGCTCAAATAAAGGGAGGGAGAGTGGGGAAGGAAGCTAGCAGAGTTAGGCAAGGAAATGGAGGAGACCATAGCTGAAGAGAGCAGGAAGTGGGGACTACAAGTCTTAGCAGCAGAAGATAAGATACAGTGCTTAAAAGAGGAGCTAAAAAACCTGAAACAGATTAGAGAGACAAATGACAGTACAGACATGACATCAAGAACTTCTGTACCAGTCACAGACAAGGGGACTGTAGGGATCCAGAAAAAGATGAGCACACTAAGGTCAACTGAGAAGCCTGAAGACAATGAGGAGCTATGGGACATATGGCCGAGACTCTAAAAGATAACTCTAACTACAGATGCAATGAACCGTTGAGTAGGAAAGACAGTCTGCTGACATAGGGTGCTGTAGCACGGGCAAAGGGCATTGAAGGCATGAACGTTTCTGATGGAAGGAATCAAAAAACACCTCAGAGGATGCAAAGGGAGACACAAGGGAGAAGGAGAGGGAAGAGGTCAGGTTGTTCTACAGGTCTCAAGAAGTCAAAGGGAAAACCTACAATGAAAAGAAACCAGGGTGAGCGAAAGCGATCGAAGGTATCATGAAAGCAAAGGTGAGAGAGACATGACCCAGGTGACAAATTTTGGGAGAATTGGGTGGTTT